AACCATCTGGCTGCACGGCAGCAGGCCAGGAGGCCCTGGACTCAGGGAGCACAAACACAGGTACAACAGTTTCTTTGGAGACCATGTACCCCACTCTCAAATCCATCCTTGGGGACTACTCATGTCCTTAAAAGCCCAGCTGTGCCTAACCTACGGGCTTTTCAAAGAGATCCAACATCACTACTAAAAACTAAGAGAGAAGGCAGAAGAAAAGATGTTTGTGTTTTTAAACACAGAAAAAAAAGAACATGCTATTCTAACCTCTATCTCTTCTCAGTCCCAGTCTCGTCACAAAGCTTCTCTTCCACTAATTCACGACCAAGAAATGCCATCACAACAGAATGTCTCCTCCCTCCATAGCAATGATCTGTGACAATCCCGCACGACTCTTGCAGTGATTAGAAAACTAGAAGATGTACAAGTTAATGCCTCAGCACGCAAAGAAACACTTCAAGTAGCTAACAACCTTTTCCCCGTTTCCATATAGCCTTCTTGTATCCATACACCCACATAGGAGTATTAAGACCTACATCAGATCTATAAAACAGTGAATGTGAACTAAAATGCCAGCTAAGCTTGCCCACTTATATCATGTGCCTCAGGCCTTGGATAAACAGCATTTGCACACAGTCAAGGCATGCTCCACTAGTACAGCTTCACTGCTGCTCTTTCATTCTCATTTTAGGCCAATCTGTGCAGCTGCCTGTGTAGAGCAGAAAGAGAAAAATACATACATGGCCAATGCTCAACCTCTCCTGCCCTCAGGCATTTCAGTCATGCACTGAGCAGGAAATGTTAATTTCGACGGAAGACATCTCTCACCTCAACCCCCCAGCAGGCTGCTGCTCTGCAGTGCAATATACTGAGGCTCATTCACAGAAAACGTAACTATTTGTTTGCAAGCATGTTTTGTTTCCCAATCAGAATCCCTCATGTCATAGACAGAAGTCTAATTATTTATTTATTTGAACTATTATTTCATAGTTCAATGTACCCACTCTAAACTGGGAGGAGCAAGAGATTAACTGCAGGGGTCTCAACTTTAACCCCGCTAAATTCATGTTATACCTTCCAGCTCGAAGGGATATTATTATTAGTTTCCCACACAAAAATGTTTTGGAAACTTTCATAATAAGGACTTGCTTTTTCCATCCCACCAGTCCTTCACAGCAGGATTAGATGATATGTACAAATGTTTAACACAGTTTCAGTAAATTTGTGCTGTAGTTTAGGGAAAACCAATGAACACTCAGTAAGTATATACAGAATTTATCATGATCTTTCCTAAACAATTTTCTTCATTCTTTCGTTTCTTATAGCTACCACTTAACGCTGTACTGATAGAATTTAACTTGATGAAATCCAGCTGAGATGCCTTGTAAGAAAGGATGAATATGTAGAGTTGGATCATTGTGCAGTGTATTTATCGAGCACAACAAAATCTCCCATAAATGCCCAGAGTTTTCTTTCTGCCAATAAATAGCTCCTGCAAAGCTTCTATCTGGAAGCATAACTATTTATTAATGTTTAGTTTTTATACCTTTATACTTAGAAAACTAAATACTTCTAACTCCATTCATAGGGGACTAAACTGGGTTAGTCACAGAACAAGAGCTGGGGAAAGCTCAGTTTAAATCTGACCAATATGAAGTTTGAAGTTTGGCAAATCACTTCCCTTCACTGTTTTCTGCTACCCGCTTTACCTGTTGGGTTTGTAATTTCTGGAAGGCAGCGATGTCTCTTTGTACCTCTGCAGCACAAAGCACAGCTGTGCTCCAAACACACGGAGACCTTGAGGCACATCCCAAATGCAACACGGAAAAACCCATTGTGCAGTTGAGAGGGTCATATTCTGCCATCCTGTCTCACGCTTGCACAGCGCATTAAGCCGTTTTTTTCACAGGACTATTTGCAGAACAGGGCACTATTCATAATGAATGAACGTGGCAGAATTCCTCCAATTATTTACTTTTCATCAACACCTGAGAGTCTACAAGAAACAGAAAGCTCTCTGACATGTACACCCCTCGTATGAATGCACACGGGGAGAGCGCACATGCTCCACCGTGAAGAACCAGACCATTTTCGCCCGCACAGTATCCATAAGGATGCATTCATTCCCCGTTCCCCTCTATCCTGGCACAAAATGGAACGTATTGACACCAGGTAAATTCTCTCCCAACCACAGAATCCCACAGTCCAGTCTGCAGTGAAGCTCTTGGCTTGTACTTGACTTTCATGCTTGGTTGTACGGAGCCAGCCTACCCCCGAGGGGAGGTGGAGGCAGAGGTGACAGCAGCAGCAGCAACAAGAGGGACAGTTCATGACTCCCAAACACATTTTTTGCAAAGCTGACATGAGCAACGGCTACACAGAGCAGCTGCTGGCAGAGGAGACCATGAGTCAAGTCAGACCTAGTTTGTGACCACAGATCTAAATCAGAATTGTCCCAGGAATTAGTTCTTGAGTTTCTACCCAGTTAAACTACAGTACTGAGGATTTTCCTCAGCCACAGTTGAGAGAATACCTAAACCAAGCTATCTCCTGTGAAGCTTTAAGAAAAAAAGGAAATTCTCAACGCTTGGGTCACACTGGTTATCGTTTGCTCCAAAGACCTCTTAGGTGTCACCCACAAAGAGGCTGGCAAAAAAAACCCCAAGTGCCTAGATAGTGTATTTTTTCAATAGAGCAAAACATGCCAAGTAACTTGGTAGATGCAGCAACACGGAGAAATGGATTCCTTCACTTAAGCAATCAAAACGCTTGTAGATCATTCACTCATACGGAGAATAACTGTTCTGCATAGGAGCTGCTGTCACAACCAGCAACAGTCGCAACGGGTGGGAGCAGAAGAACTCTGGAGTACACCTCCAACCTGGAAATGCTCGTTAGTGCACCAACCTGTTATTGCTCATGAAGTAAAATCCAAACACCCCCCTCGACATTACTGGGATCATCTCCTTTCCTTTTTTCACAGACAAGTAAGATTAAGACCCAATTCTGTAATACTGCAGGGCCCCCTGCTCAAACTTGACACCTTCCATGGATACCCCAAAGTAAGGTTTTGGTTAAATTCAGGTGGCATGAAGAATGACCACAGAAACAAGTTGTTTCCCTGAACCACTCAGAGATGATCCCCAACTCATCTGTACAGCTTGGTGAGGGAGGTCTCTGTACAGTGAAGGAGAATTCAGTCACACGCGTCTGGCCTCAACCTCAAAAGGAAGGTGGATGAGGCATGACCTTCACACTTAACGTAGAACTGAAATTTCAGCTTTGAAGCAGCTATCAAGATCCTGGCTGAAGATGAGAATTACTCACATGAGAGCAAGGACACACTAAGATCAAGAGAATACAGGAAGAAGTAGAAGTGAGGAACTGTACTACAGAGAGTTTCACTTCACTAGGGAGCTGGGAAGAACTGAAACAGCACGAGTTCTCCCTCTCGCACGCACACACCGTGTGTGAAAAGCAGGCAGGGTGTATGCCAAACTCCTGTGACTGTGAGGGCCAAACAACTCACCGGGTCCAGTGATAACATTAACAAGGGCTATCCTCTGGAAGAGGAATGTGTAATATGATAAAGTTATAGCAACAAAGGTCAACCGATGCATTAAGATATTCAAGTTTAACAAAAAGTCTTTGCCTGATTTTTCTTAATCCAACATACGTAAAAACTGCATGCCAAATGAATTTTATCCACCATAAAACCACTGTAAGGCTTTAGACAGTATCAGGTGCTGTGCTGCTTACAGGCTATGGGCTTGTCAAGGAAAACCAAAGAAGTGTGATTCATTATTGTGTGACCCCAGTCATCTGCTGGGGTAATTCCACTTTAATCAATAGAGCTAAATGAGCATAAAAACCAGAGTAATGCAGGCATGCATCAGACCCCACGTGTTTAAAGATCACCAGCCTCATCCCCTGTGACTCTATTAAATGCAGAATTCCTATTGCATACCAAAGGAGTTTTCTTTGATAAGAAACAGAAGCTTTTGTCTGATATATTTGCCTGACCACTTTCTGCTGTACCCAATTTCATCTTTAACACACTAATCCTTCTAATCATTTCCATCATCCAGGGGGGAAATTACAACAAAAAGAGCAAGGGTATCTATTTGAAATCACTGGACATTTGTACCATTTTACAAGTATTTGGGCACCTGAATGACTTGAGCTGGGGACATGTGAATTAATCAGCTTTGAACGTTCACTGTAACAGGCACACAGGTTCCTAAACTAGTAGCTAAAACAGAGTACTAATATAAAGCTCCTAATTCCATCAGTCTTGAAGGACAACAGGTTGAAAAACACATTCCCCACGATCACAAAACAAGACAGACCCCACATTTCTCATTAGAATAATCTTTTAGAAAGTTCTGCTGAGCAGATCTGGCTAAGTGTGAAAATGTGAAGCAAAATCATAATAATTCTTTCGATCAGCCTCAGTAATACAGTTTCTCTGTTTATTTCAGGGTTTACACAGGGCTGCTGGACTCTTCCCCTAAGCAAGCTTTTGGCTGACAGAGCCTTAAGCACAGATGGGCCTCTGACCTTATTTAGCAGGGATTCTCCTGAAGGCATTGCTGTCTGATTTTATAACATTTGATTCAAATGGTTCAGTGACTTGGCCAGGGCATGTAACCCACTTTTTTAATGCTTAATTCATTAGCAAAGCTCACATTCATCAACTACAAATAAATTTTGCTTAACATTAAACTCCTCTACCATTAATTATCTCTCTTAAATAGCAATTCATTGTGAATAATAAAAAATGATCAATTACCGATTTCCTCTCTTGTTTCAGCTCCTGCACATAGCGTGTTAACTCTCCAGTGATAAGAGAGGTCATGTTCTCTGAAATGACCTCATGCTGTCCGGCATAGTCATTCATTTCATTTAAAGTGGCTAGGAAGGCTCTAGTTGATGTGTACCTGCAGAGGACAAAAATGCATTTTGCTTTTAGTCCCGTTCTTTTCAGAAAGACACACTGCAAATGGAGGTTATATCCTGCTTAAGCATTTAGTATTGCCACATGAGACTGAGTACGGATTAGCATAGATTCACTTGAAAGAATTTCTCAAAAGGAAGCTATCCCCCACACCAACAGTTGTCTGACAAATTAATCTCGATTCAGACACTTTGACACTGGCTCTTAGAATATCACAGATTTAGAGTGCCAGGTTTTTTATCAGCACAGCTCTGGGACTTCACTATTCTAATCTCTATTCACCAAACATTTCTAGTTAGACTCTTTCAAGTCCTACAGTCCAGTGCACAGAGTCTGTGCACTCTGCCTGGCAAAATCCTCTGTAAGCAACCAACTTCTTGGCTAGCATAGTGCAGAAAAAAAACTTTTTATAGTGTAAATTGGATTTAAATCAGCTATAGTTTATAAAGCTTTAAAAAAGGTAGTGAGTTTACTAGCCAGGTGTTTATTGTCAACCCATATTTTTTAATACCTCCATCGCAAGGTTTATTTTTCATATAAAATAATCTCCAATACAATATTCCATGCAGTATTATTAAAAGCAAGAAACGAACATCTGTGCACACAATTTCCAAACAGCAGATGATGTCACTAGCTGAACAGCACCAACAGAGCTGCATTTCAATAACCCAGCTGGCTGTGCTGGTCAGCTGGAAAACAGCAGCTTTGAAGCACTGCACTTGTACATACTAGAAAATCTATTAATACTAAAGAGTAGAGATCTGCACTGATAATATCATCTAAAGGTGAAAAAGTAAACCAAAGAGGGAGAGATTTACACGAAACAGAGAGGAGTGGTACAAGTAGGGATGAAAAAGGCATCAGAGAAAAAAAAAAAAACACGGAAAAAAAGAAACTAAACAGAGACTAAAAATATAGTCCAATACAAGCAGTCACATTCCCAGTCAAGCTGTGGTGCCTTGAGAGAAATCCCAGTTGCAAAAGACAGGGGATCAAAGGCACAGAACTACAGACTGACAATAACCTTGGAAACAGATCATTTCTAGACAGTCTGTCTCAAAGCAGTGTCCGAGGCACCAAAGGTTGCATGCCAAATCCTCAGACATTATGTAGAGACATGAGGAAGCTCTACTGAGGTGAACACTGTATTTAAAAGGGCAAAGGATACACAGGGTCTTGTGTGCCACATCACATGAATCATTTAACTCCAATATCCTTTTCCAGCAATCAAAGATGTGTCCAAAAAGGTTGTAGTAAACTCAAAATACCCTTTTACGGTATAGCTACACAAAGGCAGATTTATTCCTAATCCCACATGCAGACCAAAACAGCTGATGAGCTGGTATGTAAGCTTCCTTGTGTAAATATCAATATCTCGGGAAACAATGGCATAAATAACTAATTCCCAAAGAATGTTAACAAAAAATAAATTAAGAAGAAAATGAAAAGGCTGTTATCTCTGTTAATATGAGTCACTAGAGTAGCTGTATACAGCATCTTGGGGGTCTGACTGAAAAATCTCAATACAACCATACAGTTGGATCCATATCCAAACTCATTTGAAATGTTTCAATTTCAGGTCAAGGGTTTGAGTTTGCTGCCAGGGCAGTGTCCTGCAATACAAGGCTGCAGGGTCAGACTTCATTCCTTCATTCAAAGCTGATGCTTTACAAACACCAACATTGAGAAACTTCAGAGTGCTCTGAGGAGAAGGTTCTTGCTCTGGCTTATAGCCTGTCTGCTGGAAAGCTCCTCCTCTAGAAAGTTCTCTTTAAAGAATATCTTTAATCTCATCAAGGGCACAAATGTTCTTAAGGATATGTGCTCCATCATCACCTGTATCCACATCTGCAGTGTCACTTGGTGAAGGAGCTGTGCTTTTGACGCTGCAGTCGCTATCTGCCAGCACTACATTAGTCCCCTGCCACCAGGGAGATACAGTCTGAACACATAAATCAACAACAGACAGCTGAGGCCATGCACATCCTTCACCAGCAGCAAGTCGTGCGTCAATCCATCCCAGGATACTGGGAGGACAAACTACACCCCTCCCTTTACTCTTCAGGAGCCACTGGTTTCTCTGGGGTGTCATAACATTTTCCCTTTAGTTTACTCTTCAGGAGCCACTGGTTTCTCTGTGGTGTCCTAACATTATCCCTTTAATAAGTTACTAATCGGTTTTGTCAGTCCATTTGAGTAATTTAATACTTACGCAGACTGCTTAAGTTTCATGCTAAAATTAACAACTGTTTCTGTT